TTCTTGCATGTACTTAGACCTGTTATATTTACTTCGATCTGTTCAGGCAACCTGTATTTCTTCTTTCATTTAATGATACCATTTATTATAAATGAATTTAAATAGGGAGGGACAATTGGGACTTGTGTGGCTTTTTAGAGAGATGTTGCCTCATGGTTATTAATTATAACAAGAAAAATAACGTGAATTATTTTACTAACAGCACAGTCCCCTTGAAACTGCCTGTCTAATGCTTCTTAGAAAACAAGTATTTGCTTCCTAAAGCCACCTTCTGGGACATTAGTAAAGAGTCCTGCAATTTGGCTCTTTCTATATCTTGTATGAGTTAACCAGCTTGTATCAAAAAGGCAGATAATTCCATTTTGGGTTTTTTTACTGCTATGTGCTATGTCCTTTGAGAGATGAAGTATTCTATCTGAATGCTGTGTCAGATAAGAATTTCTATGTTTTGTGGACTTTGGAGCACAGTATTTCAAGAAAGATGAAGGTTATTGGACGTAGTCCAGAGGACAGCAGGAAGAATGATCAGATGTGTAGAAAACACAGCATATGAACAAAGTCTTTCAATCTTCAGGTTTAGTTGTTTAGTCTAAAGAAAAAAAAAAACTGAAAGGAAATTCATAATAGCCTTCTAGTGTGTACAGATTTTCTGTAAAGAAAAGGAGAAAAACATTCCTCATGTCCACTGGGAGCAGAGCAAAAAGTAGTAGGTTTAAATTACAACAAAAGAGATTTAGGTGAGACATTATGGAAAAAAGCCCTTTCCACTGTAAGGATAGTTAAGCACAAGAATTGCCCTAGGGAGGTTATGAAGAGGTTAGACAAACATCTGTCAGAAATGATTTAGGTATAGCTAATCCTGCTGTGAGATAGTGTTGGACTAAATAACCTTTTGAGGTCCCTTCTAGCACTATTTTCTGTGATTCTGTGATTAGGACACTGCACTCACATTGTCCTGCAGTAAGATGTTACTGTACAGGGATGATATCACTGTATTCTGCACTCCATACTTTGCTTTGTTTTTACTTTAAGCTGATGGGTTGAACGATGCTCTGATGTTTAAAGCACTTAAACTTAATTCTTAGTACCTCAGGAGCTTTGAGCAGGGCATTAGGAGCTCGCTTTCAGCCAAACAGCCCTGTTCTGGTTTTGCGCTACCCAAGTGTCAATAAGGGGTTTTGGTACACACCTTAGAATTAGTGACTTGTACTATGTCTTTTGACTTGCAGTCAAACACAGGGGTCAGTGCTCAGTTTCTGCCTATAAGCAAAAGGGAAACAGAAAAAAAATTAGCTGTCAAAAGAAACTTCCCCATTAGTAAAATCAAAATAAAACCAGTCATGTTCTAAAGCTGAATATAACACAAGTTGTGAAACATCCTGGAACTGACAGATGGAGATTGATATTAAAGTGACAGATTTTATCATTATTAAATCATCACAGAGACCATTGAAGGCATCAGTCTAAGACTGTCCTTATCCTCTGTAACACTCAAAACTCTTTAACTTTGTTCTTCCATTTGGCGTACTGCCATCCATCAGGATTTGTATTCAGCTTTGCATTCAACAGGAGTGTGTTTGCAGTGTTGCCTCTGTATAGTGAATATGGCCTCGGCACAACTACACATTGGTGAGTTTTGTAAAACTCCGTCTGGAGGAATAAGGAATAAGAAGCTTCTGATTTTGAAGTCGTTTGAAGACATTTGTTATACTTTGCATGTAATGCTTACAGAGTGTGTCTGATTAGTGCCACTATTCCTGCAGAGACAAATTGTCACATCTGAAACAGGGGCATAACATCACTTCTCAGCAATGACCCAAGTGTGTGGTTTTCATGGATGAGTCTGTTCTTGAACCAACAGAGAAGATGGAACAGTTCTTGGTTTGTTGATCCTTTAGGAACCTGAAGGTTCATCATCACATGTTTTCCATGGTATAACCTCACAGCTTTTAACATTTATCTGGTTAACTGCATTGGGGGGCAGCGGGGAGGTTCTGGCTTAGCATCCAAAAGAGAACATGTATGTTAAACAAACTTGCTGTTTACACCTGATTTTCTGAAGATCCCTGGTATTCATCTGATTTAAAAATTCAGAAGACAAACTGAATTCATGTCAAAATAAAATACTGGATTTTTTTCTACTGCACCACCTCATTTGCAGTCCTCAGAATTTCCCTAGTGAAGGGTTCTCTTGCAAATATATGTATATATGCACATGTGTGTTTTGTATGGGGATGCATTCAGTACATCAACAACAGTTGGTGTTGTATTATCTGAAAACACAGTCTATATTCAGTGCTGGGCCTAAAATTGTGTCACATACTGTTTAAAAATATATGTTTTTTTAAAGACAACAAACACAGAATGTTCTGAATCCAATATTATCTATATCTGGCAATATTTGTAGTTCATATGAAGAGTTTTTAATAAAGGAGAAATCTTTTTGAATAAAGCAGAATAACAGAAGGGGTAAGGTTGGAAGGGACCGCAGTGGGTCATCTGGTCCAACCAAGGGTCATCCTAGAGCACATGGCACTGGATTGTGTCCAGGCAGTTCCTGAATATCTCCGGTGAGGGAGTCTCCACAACCTCTCTGGACAACCTGTTCCAGTGCTCAGTCACCCACACTGAAAAGTTCTTCCTTATGTTCAGATGGAACTTTCTGTGCATCAGTTAGAGCAATTGTGTTATATTTTACTTGAGGAAAAGTAATTAAAATAGTAGCTTTTGCCCTGCTTTTAGAGGTAGATAATTTGCAAGTTCATTCAAAATAGGAGTTAGGAGTATCAGATGGTGCTTGTTTCCTTTCTAGAGTTTGTAAAATCATTACAATGCTTATTAAAAAACAGTCATGCTTTTCAGGCAGGGTTTATTCAGCATCATGAAATCCTGCCCCATGAAAACACAAGGTGTTTGCAAGCAGGGCAGTGTGGGCTCAGCCCCCGCATGGTGGAGGGTCCCTGGGGAGGGCACACACCCATGCTGAAGCATGAGCACGCAGACAGGTTGAAGGGAGGGTCTTGGGGAGGGTTTTGCCTCCCTGTGCCCAGCATGTGAGGGACTGTGTGGATTTCCATCCCCTGCCGACCTGCCTTGAGCTGGCCAAGAGGACTTTGAGAACCCACACTTCTGCTCTGCATTCCCCAACTGCTGCCCGGCTCAGCAGCTGGATCCAGAGCAAAATGGCCGATCAGGAGTTACAGCTTCATGGGCACAACTGTTTTGGTGCAGGTTGTCTGCTAGAGGCAGAGATAATGATAGCTTTTGAGGCTAATATGCTTGGCAAGGAGGGGAGCTGATACTGGAGGGAAGGGACCAAGAAATCAGTAGTAATTTAAGAATATAAATGTCTACCAGGATTCAAATTTCAGCCTTCAATTGATTTTATCCACTGTGCTCTCTCTACTCCTTTCCTCTGGTGCTTTAGTAATCATTAAATGAAGTGGAAAAATATGTTTGTATCAATAACTCTTTTTTACCAAAAACTATTCATTTCTAAAGTAACATAAATACAGTTATAATTGGGATGTCACATTGTCATAAGCCATTTCAAATGCTTTTCAGAGACATAAGTACAGGTAAAATGGTAAGTATACCATAACTAATGGTATTATTAGTTTGATTTACTGCCAATCAGTCACCTTTACAAAAATCAATTCCCAAGTTCATAAAAAATCTCCCTAAAATTGATACATTTTTACACTACCAATAATAAGAAAAAAGGTGAAGTTACCCATTAATCTTTACTTTTTTCTTTGCATTACTCGTTAAAAGGTATCTTACAGATTGCTGTGATATATAGGAGTGTGTGTATGAGCAAGACATAGGTTATAGAAGTCACAAGTTATAAAAAGTTTAAAAAAAAATAAAATCTGAGTGATCTACAGACAATTCACATGACATGTCTAACAAAGACTGTCCACAGAATAAATGTGGCTACATTAATATATTGAACCATTAGCACATGTCCTCATCTTAATGGAACTTACACAATTGTAGCTAGTCAGATTCCATTTCATATATACAGCATGTTTGTCTGAGGCACAGAAAGACAACTATATCTATTTCGTTTAAGCTCTGAATTGACACTTCAATTTTAAATCAACCACAGAACACCTTAGCTTAAATCTGAACTTTTCTCTGATACTCTTTCCTATTTGTTGTGTTTCTGTATGAGTATACTGAAAAGATGTTACAGACAATCTGCTGAGGTCTGTGTATATGTGCATTTGACCTCTGCACAAGAAAGGAGTTTCATCCTCCAGTGCTTTTAATTCTTATCCTTGCAGAGACTGAATTTGTTGCTTGCATTAAAATAGTATGTCTCGTTAATGCTAAGAAGAAGCGGTGACCCACATAGCACAATGGATTCATTTGTCAATCCTGCCATTTCCAAGCTTTCTGTTCATATGTCTTAGCAGTAAATCAACTTAGAAATCATTTAATAAGTCTATCAATGCATTCTTCTTGTCAGTGGTCTGAATCCTGAAAAGTCCAGTATCTCATTGGGTAGCACCAGGCAAAAAAGATTTGGACCTAATACCAGATATTTGAACTCAGAAAACTGCAGCTCCAAAATCACAACTCACAAACACAAAAAATCCTGTGTTAAAAAAGCAGGATCTGGAAATTGTCTTGAATTTTGAGGATGTTCATGTTCTGATCTAGGTCTGAACTTCAGAGTGCTAACTGTTAGCACTTCAAAAATACTCTACATACAGTTAAAGAAAGCAGTACCCTTTTGTTCCCTCTGTGAAAAAAAAAATCATTGCTTTTTTGCTATTCCCAAGGGCTGCAACTAGAGCCTGAATAGTTTATAACAGTCAGTGTTATGCAAATGTCAATCATATCCTTACTCTGTTTATTTCCAGTATTTACATGTTTATTTAAGTACTTGCCATTTCCTTTAAGCCTTACCTAGCCTATCAGGCCAACTGAGGTCTAAAGGAACAGAACACTTTATTAGTGATATGCTTAATACAGTTTTTTTCCTCTTGTAGATGCAAGATTTACGGAATACAGAAGGAGCCCAGTATAGTTCCCATCCTCAGATGGCAACCATGAGGCCAAGGGTTCAACCTGCAGATATTAGGCAGCCAGGAATGATGCAGCATGGGCAGCTGACTACTATTAACCAGTCCCAGCTCAGTGCACAGCTTGGTTTGAATATGGGTGGAAACAGTGTTCCTCACAACTCGCCCTCTCCACCTGGAAGCAAATCTGCAACTCCTTCACCATCCAGTTCAGTCCATGAAGATGAAGGAGAAGATAGCTCTAAGGTAGGCTTAGATGCTAGGATTACTATGTAAATTATGGTTATTTCTAGGACCTGCTAAATGAATCATATGGCCACAGTTATTAAGGTGATACTTTATGTATTATTGGTGGTTGATTGAAGTGAATAAAGGATTATGAATACGGAACTTATAATATCCAGTCAATTCTTCAGGCAGCTTGAGTAAATTACATCATTCCTCTTCATGAGAGCAAACTGGAATCCTGTTAAACACTAAAGGATAGTAATTTCTGTAGGACTTTAATATAAGGGTTGAGTTTTCTCACTTGCATAGCAGGGATATTTGTTTCCAGTTAAAGATCAAATTACTGCTATAAAAAGTATGAACACTCAGTGCAATATGCTAGTCTTTGCTACTTGGTCACAGGATGAGTAAACAGAACATCATAGCAACCAGAACAGAAAGATCCTATGAACTTTAGAAACCTTACTTTGAAAATCTGGAAGACCCATTATACATTTATACCTTGAGAGGTGCTGACACTTCATCATGACATGTTTAAGCTTCACTTTAGTGTCAGTACAAGCATGAAGTGATAAGAGTAATTTACATAATAAATTTCTTTAAAGAATAAATGTCAATCTGTATAGCAGGTTTTGCATGCAAAAATCTCCCAATCTCTCAAAAACCTGAAAACCTCTCAAAAATACACAAGTCTATTATCTTAAATTCAGACAGAAAAGCTGAGACACAGAAAGATTGAAATTTAGCACAAAATCATCCCTTAAACCAGGAATAGAGCATATTGAAATTGAGAACCTCTTTAGCTCTATTTTATGGTCACTACAAAATAGCAGTCCTGTCAGAGCACTCCTGCATTGTAGTGTGTACCATGTAGTGTATCACAGAGATGGCTTGTGGGGGAAAGTTGCAGACTTGCAAGGAATGTGAAGAAAACATATTTTGAGTTGCTGAGGAGGTATAATCCAGTCAAGAAATGTAAGCCTGATTTGTTTTCAAATTATATTGTTTTTCATGCCTCAAGCTATAAAATAATCATGTAATTGGAGACATATGTTTTACTACATTTTGAATAAATTCTGATTCAAAAGTTTTATTTCGGCACATACCCCTAATTTTACAAAGTTTAGGTTTTAAAAATTACTGAATAATTCATACATTTTAAATGAGCACTACCTTACTGAGGAAGACTTTAGAATACAGCTGTGTAAAAATAATTCCAAGCAGCCTTTACTTTTTCAGAATAATTTATTTGCTACTCCTGTTGCTCTGCTAATTTTTTACATGTATTGGTGGGAGTGTGCAAGATGGTCGAAATTCTGGAGGAAACATCCACTCAAATAATTAATATTACCTTTCTGCTTCTATCAAATGTTTCAGTTATTTCACCCATAGTTTTCATGTACTTTTTCAGTGTAACACTTTGGGCTAGCAAAAGTGTAGGGTTGTGGTTTCATGCAAGCAGTAGTTATCTGAAACTAATGTTTTCAGTAGAGAAATATAAAACACTGTAGACTAAGTAAGACTTGGTCCTTTCTTTGTGGAAGCCAGCTTATATAGTGTTCAACTATTTAACAAGCTATGTTATTTTGCCCTCATGCTCAGTCTAAGCAGAAAAAGATGACAAAGGGCACAATGTGCAACAGTATGCTGAAGTAGATATATTGCCTTAAAATTCTATAATTATATCTACCAAGAGAAAAGTTTTAAAGGATATTAAATTTGGTTAATAGTGACAGAGGGCTTAAATTCTTGTCTGACTAGTATGGTTTAAACCAGATTGATGGGGAGCAGATAATGTCATGCATTGTCTTCTGTGGGATTTCTTAGGGCTTTATGAAAACACCTGAGGCTGGTCACCATTGGAGACAGGCAGTGGGCTGGCATGCCTGATCCTGTGCAATGGTTCTGCTGTAGTTCCCTTCGTAAAAGGCAATAGAGTTTGAATAATCAGCCTAAGGAGTTAGTGTATTGTTGTAGTTCATAATTTAAAACTCTCCACTGTGTATATTCTGTTAACACTGCTCTTCCTGGTAGCTGCCAGTGAATGGATATGAATACTCAGAATAAGATGGTTTTCTGTGGAGATCTTCCTCCCCAGAAACAACAGTATTACATTTTCTTGGAGTGTCATGGTTTGAGATAGCCCCAAAATCCAATTCCCTAGCTCCATTTCCCCCTCCCACATCTCAACCCAATGTGAGATGGGTTTTTCCAGACAAAACACAACCAGACTCAGAATGGGGGAAAGGGAATATATTACAATGACTGTACAAATAAATACTATAACACATTATACCCACGATCACAACTATCTCTACCATGACATATAGTATTTACAATGGATCAGATCTCTTCTCCCCTCCAAATAAAAGTCCAGGAGGGAAAGAAGGACAGATCCCTTCCAGTCTCTCAGGGCAGCAGCTTCTTCTAAGGCAGCAGGTTCTCCTCATCTCATGCATGCAGCAGCTGATAGCTGGATCTCTACCAGCACTCACGAGGCGGGTATCCCCCTCGGCCCCTTGACGCAGGCAAAGGGGTCTTCCGTGGGCTTCATAACCCCAGACAAGGCCGTTTCACCACGTCATATCACGAAGACGCAGGGGGTCTTCGTGATGGTCTGGTATCTCCAGGAGGTTCAAGCTCCTTGCAGGGCCTCTGTGCCCTGCCTCAGGCTGCGAGCTTCTTTGTAGCTTGCAGCAAGGGAGGGCCCCCAAAGCCAACCTCCCACACCGTCCTGGTTCAGCTCTCAGGACGACTGAGCTTCTCAGCTCCTCTTTGCAAGTGCTGTAGCACTCCAAGGCTCCTCTCCTTAGTAGGAGTCCATGTCCCTCCTTTCCTGGAGGTCTCAAAGGAGTTTTGCGGGGTTTGGTACAGTTCTTACCCCCAGAACTCCGTAACTCTGCTGCGGGCTCTCTTTTCCTCAACTCTCCTTCCAGGAGTTTTCTCTGTGGTTCAGTTCTTATCAGTTGGCTCCCAGCCACAACCTCTGGACGCTGCCACCGCTTCTGCTCTGTCTCTGCTCACTCATGATGGAAAACATCTCCCAGGTCACAGCTACAGACACATAGTCCAGCTTAACACTGTTCCAAGTCTCTGTAGCCCCCAACTGGGGCTGGGGGGGCCCTAGAGGCCCCGAGGGGCTCTGGGCCCCTTTCCTCATGGCTCTACAACATGGCTACTGCTTCTACCAGCCCAAACTACAACCCTTCTCTTCCGGTGCTTGTGATATGTTTACATTTCTGCAGGAGCGCTCATTGGGCAGAACTTCAAAACTTCCAGGGGTTTCCACCCCTGGGGGTTACCACTTTTCAGCCTCTGGGGGAAAACAAGGTTCAAACCACTACATGGAGTTGCTTTGAAGGGGCCTCTCAATGTTCTCACTCCAGAAATCCTCTCCCCAGTGAAAGAAGGCTCTGGATGGGGACAGAAAGAGACAGACCAGCTGTTCTGTCTGTTGTGAAAACCTCTGTCTTTTACCTGAATATAACTTTGCTAAATTTGGAATTTTCTCTTTAATTTATAAACTATCATGTAGATGTATGCAATTACTTAAGAGATCAGGGCCACAGCTTATTAGTCAGTCCTTCAGTGGAGGGGCACATATTCCAGCCCTGTAGTAGCTGCTGGAGCTCGCTTCATGGAATCAGTAAGATGTTCCTGCCATGAGGACTGTGTAAAAACCAACTCCCTCTGAATTCACCATATTGTTAATAGCAACAGTGACGTTCTCCCCATTTAACCGGCAGAAGATGATGTTTGCCTATGTACCAACATTGATCAAAAAGACAAAGTACATTTTCAAATGGAAAATCACCTCAGCGTCAGATGACCTTTCTTAGTTTATACCAGCTGAAAGCCCAGCCTTATGTGTGAAAGAGAAGCCACTGGTCCTGTGATAGAACATTTGGTAGACAGCTCCCTAAGAACTATACCTATTTCTATCTAGAGAAAAAAAAAACCAGAAATCTCAATGCTCTGTTCATGTTTGCATGAATTTATAGAAAGAGGATGATGGAAAGTATAAGCAAATATGTACATTATGTACCTTTCGACTAAAGATATAATTGTATCCCTATGAACTACTGATTTCCATGTGTGAAAGAAATTAGCATTTCATCTTAATGTATGTATTCCAAATTCCAGTAATGGGGAAACTGTACAAACTAATGTAATTGTTCAGGTACTGAACTTCTTGGATGTTCATTCTATGATAAATATTCAAATCCTTGTAAGCCTTATCCAACATACACAAAACTAATGGCAGCAGCTGCTAAATATTTTTTGACAATACTCATTCTCATAAAGACCCTTTCATATAGGCTGTTCAGACTTCAACTGTCCTATATTCCCTTGCATGAAAAAAGAGAAAGGAGATGCATTATAGAGGGCTCAGTTTCCCTACCTGCTGTGGCTCTAAAATCAGGACAGCTGAGGTTGCTTGACCATAAGATCAGTGACAATAGTAGTGTAATTGTAAAGCTAGATATGCAGTCAGAAAGCTGCTAGGTCCATGGAAATGTGAAATGTAGTCTCAGACTAAAGATATAATCTCTGAAAGGAGTCTCCTTAATTCTTCTAAATGTCATATGTGGGGCTATCGTTAGAAGAAATAAAAAGGGAGAACTTAAAAATCAATACTTGTAAGTAACTGAAAAAACATTATAAACAAAGTGGCCACTTAGCACATGCTTTATTCTGACCATCTCAACATCGGAATATTACATTTATGTAATTCTTGCCATAATTCATACTGTTGGATCGTTAAACATGTACTTGGTTATTGCCAAGCATAATTGGGAGCTGCTGGAAGCATTACTGGTTTGTAAATAAGTATTTCTTCATAGATGGATAACAGGGTTTTCTTCCATGCTCATTTGCATATCACTTATGAGAGAAATTCAAACAATGTATTTTAGAGGGAAGATAGAGAGAGGACTGCAAGTAGCAAGAATTAAATAACAGAAACACAATTACTAAAGAACTGCTGTAGCATATTCTCTTTATGTGGCAGAGGTTTTACAATATTTACTTTATATGATAGGAGTTATAAGTAGAATTCCATGTTGTCTGTTCAACCTATTATGCAGATGGTGCTTGATTAAAATCTATTTTAAACTACAGCGATTACTGCAAGATAGTGTGCATAAAACAGCTCTCCTAGCTCCATTAAAGGCTTTGGTACTATTGCAGTTTATTTTAAATATGCTTATAGACATTTTCTAAGTTCTCAAGGGACATTTAGATATCAATGATGTGCCTTACTTGATAGTTTTAAACCCTACACTAGATATTCTTGTGATCTATTATATGTGCAACATGGTTAATGTACACTTTTTTAAAGTGAAAGATTATTGCTTTCTTGTGATAAATAAGTTAAATACATCACCATAATTAAGCAATAAGCCATGACAGGAGGTGGATTACCATGAGCTAACTACACCTCCAGGGATTTTGAGGCACAAGTCTATGCCTAGCAGAATATATATGGGTTTTATTTTATTTTCCATCTGTCTCTGCTTTGGTGGTTAGAAGTGGAGTCTATGAAGCTGATAGACTGATGGGAGCATAAGGTAGGCCATCATCACAACCATTTGCAGGATTATTAGTACTTGAATTCTTGTATTCTTTTTATTTTGTTATTTTCATATAAGACAAACAGAATTTCCCCTGTGAGTACTCTGTTTTTAACACTCGGGATTTGAAGTGTCTTGATCATTAAGGTTGGAGAATAAGGTTTTAGAGCCATTCTCAGAACAGCTTACCAGAAGGCGACTTACACAAGTTTCTGTAGTATATCACCTCGTTTAAGGGTAGTTGAAGTAGTGTGGTATCCTTATATATAGAGAACTTTAAAATCTCCTTGTTTCAAAACTACTCTGAAAAGAGGAAAACTTTGGCAAATCCCAGAGGTAAAAATTTAACCATAGAACAAATTATCGTCAAGTCTTCTCACTCCTGGAGTTTGCACAGGACTTCTGAAGAGTTTCCCAAATGCTACCAAAAGGCTTCATGTCTATTAACTTTGTATTAAAGATGCATCTACTGTAACATAATGCCTAGGAAACAATCAATTTCATTTTCAAATTGTGGTCATCACTTTGTTGCTGTTTTTAATAAGCCGCAGAGATCCAGGTTTTTCACTGTAGTCACCTGGGTTCTGTTGGACACCACACAGTGATGCATATAGAAAAATAAAAAAGCTTTTTTTCTCAAAGTGAGGATTTCTAGGCATTTTACTCATGCAGTTCCACTGATTTGAACACCTGTGTTCTTCTGTACCACTTGATATGCATTATTAAAAAATAATAATAGAAGGAAGTGAAAGAAGTCATGCCTAGTAGATCCTTAGCCTAAAGCATACCTTTTATGCTCTTGATCTTCTCATGCTTCAAAACCCTTATGATGCACAGTACTTTGGTCATGCCTACAAAAGAAAAAAGCCTTTGAAACCACTTATAAGATCACACATCATTGCTACAGGTATAGTAAATTAAGTGATCATATCAAGAGAATTTGCTTTGCCATGGAGCTCCAATCTGTTGAAGAATCAGGTCAGTGTCCCTTTATATGCTTGTAAGTCATAGAGTCATTGAGGTTGGAAAATACTTTTAAAATCATTGAGTCCAACTGTTAACCTCACACTTCCAAGTCCACCACTAAGCCATGTCCCCAGTTGCCACATCTACATATCTTTTAAATGCTACCAGGGAGAGTAACTCCACTTCCCTGGACAGCCTGTTCCAATGCTTGACAAACCTCTTCCCCAGGTGCCACTGGAGGCCATTTCTTTTCATTCTACGGCTTGTAACTTGGGTCAAGACCCCAACATGCGGCTTTCAGGCAGTTGTAGAGAGTGATAAGGTCTCCCCTGAGCCACCTTCTCTCCAGGCTAAGCAACCCAGTTCCCTCAGCTGCTCCTCACAAGACTTGTGCTCTAGACCCTTCACCAGCTTCACTAGGAAAATAAGGTGCTTCGGTGTTTGCACAAATGCTCATGTGCAGTTTCTTTCAGGTGATGCACATGAACTTTGCTCCATACACCATTCCTCTTTCACTCCCTTCCTTGAACCGTTTTCTTCTACATGAGCAGACGAAGAAACTGTGCAGCTAAATACAGATAGATCAGAACTGATCCTTCAAGGGACTCTAAATGTCTACACTGGTGAAGCTTTGTTTCTTCAGACTTTAATTAGAAGGTGTATAGGGGAATGTCTGTAACTTTAATTGTTTGATTTACAGTCAGATTCTCTTCAAAGTCCCTGGAAAGTGTACCACCAGTTGCAGAAGAAATTTATTTGGACAGTAGTCTGGGGACAAACTGAAGAAGGGTGAGAGTGTCAACATTTGGATTATCAAAGATGGGAACAAAAATTCTATTTTTGCATGAAAAATCCAAAATTCTTGTATCACAGAGGCTTTAATGATGGACTGAATTAAATGGGCTAGTTTTTTAATAGTACTTTCCTAATTTTATGTTGCAGGTCAATGGTGGCGAGAAGAGACCTGCTTCAGATATGGGAAAGAAACCTAAAACTCCCAAAAAGAAGAAGAAGAAGGACCCAAATGAGCCACAGAAACCTGTGTCTGCCTATGCATTGTTCTTTCGAGACACTCAAGCAGCCATCAAGGGCCAAAACCCCAATGCTACTTTTGGTGAAGTCTCTAAAATTGTAGCTTCAATGTGGGACGGCTTAGGAGAAGAACAAAAACAGGTACAATATATGCTACAGCTCAGAGGTTTTGTTTCAGGAAACTGTTATCAGGGTCATCTAAGCACTGTAGGCAGCTTCTTTTGTTTGCCAGGATGAAACTTGAATATGTGACATTTCAAGAATATGATTTAAAGAGAACTGAGATAAGGAGAGTATTGTTTCATTTCATCTGTATGAAACCAGTAAAAGAGTTTTCTTAGTTTCTTAGGGTGTAACACAAGCCTTTGGATTATATTTAGGATTGATTTATAACAGAATTAGTGGGCCTAGGATTTTACAATGGCATTACCCTGTGTATTGACACCATGCTGTAAGAGGATCTTGCTGCCAAAGCTTAGACCTGTGCAGTGGGACCTGACATATATTTGAGCTCCTAGTTGCAGATATTTCCCTGCCCCATGATCCCATTATGCCAGAAGGGAAGCTGAACTTATATTTGCTCCCAAACCACGAGACTTTTATGAAAGAAATGAGTGATATGTTGACCCAAAGAGACCCAGGGTGGACACTGGCAAATGGACAGTGTTCTGGTGTATCCTCTAGCATACATGTGGGCTGTGGAAATCACATCCCTTAGTTCCATCTTCCATAGAAAGGCCTTGGTTCTGCAATAAGGTCAGCAGAGCTGAACCAGACCCTTTGCAGAAATCCTTCCAAGTCAGTCAAATGCTGTGTAAAAGTGGGCAACTCTGGAAGCTCATTATGTTCATTTGGTGACAGCTGGCAAATACCGTTCATCCTCACTATAGCATACCATTGCTTTTTTGTTGTTTTTGGTTGCATTTCTACCAACTACCAGCAGAATTGATTGGTTTGATAAAGAAATGGGAACTTAAAGAAGGAAACAGATACAGAAAGACAGGACATGCTGGGTGAGAGTTATATTGGTTGCAGGAGACCTGGGTGGGGATTGATGTCAACACACAGAATGGAAAAGTACTGGTACTAAATTGAATCCCATTTATTCACACATTATTACTGCAAAATTATAGCTAATAAGACTAAGAATTAAAGAAAAAATTTTTTATGATTTTTTGGTACGTAAAATTATTTGGGCTTGAAAAAAAAAAAGATTTACTTTGTTAATAACTGGATGGTGAAGGTACATATAGATCTCTGTTAAAGATACCGGTTTAGTAAGAATCAAGATTTGGCACTCATTGACTATCTTAAAAAAAAAAAAAAAAAGCTTATGCTATCCAGTATCCACCATTGAATAAGACCAGCATTTGGAAGGTTTAGCTTGAGGAAAGGTAATTTTCTGAACACAGGGATAAGAGAAATCACTTGGCCTGGCACATTATTTATTTTGTTGTGTTGCTTCTTTCTTCTCACTTTAAAAAAAGGAAAAGCATATGAATATGTCCAGCAAAGGCCAATGTTCTAGATCTGACAGAGCATTACTTTTTGGGACCATGATGATGTTTGTTCAGTTTTGATCCAGAAAAAGTACAGACTATGCTTTTGATTAAGTTCACAAGCAAGAGCTTTTAATCCCATTCCTCTTTGTTCCACATACCTTCCAGCTTGTAGGAGGGACAGTCCTCTGAGCCACATAAAGAGTAGCCACTACTCAGCAGATTGCCCAAGAAGCAGCCTTCTGTCCCTGCTGTGCTTGGCCAAGACCTCTGACCAAAGCTGAGAAACTACAGACTGTGGTATCTGGCTTAAATTGTTTCCTACTCCATAGGAAAATTGTTACCCAGAATCATTCCCTGTTCTTGAAATCTGGACACACATTTTTTTTTCCTGAAATAGTGAAAGGCCAAGACCTGGACGTAGAGAGCTTGTCTCTCTAGTTAATCATATATCTCTCTCATGATGACACCAAGCAAAAAATTATCTATTTAGCCAGACCCTTAATTTGTGACTGTTGCAGTGATGTGGTTTTTACTTCCATAGTATTTGTTCTGCTTACAACTCAGAAAACTTGACTTCATGAGTAATGATCCAAGATCCTATAATAGAGATAAACCTAAAAGACTGTAAAATGCACATTTCCTTTGAGCCTGTCATCTGAGTGCTAGCACCAGAATATTGAAATCTTTCTATAGAACTCTGTTTAGAAAAGTGCATAAAATCCTGAATGTCCAGCTTTAACTTCAATTTTCTATTCATAGTTGAAAGCAAGAATTGAATAAGTCTTATGCTGCAACAGCAGAACTAAATTTATTGTTCTTATCTCTTTGTTCTTACTTTAAATTGAAACACAACAGAATGATGTGTTATGGAATCCACATGACACGTTCATGAAAAAATGGCTGCAAGTAGGTTTTTAAGCAAATTTTTCCAGGAGTTTGGGTTAGCATATCTTTGTTGCTCTTTGACTCATTTTGCCTATTCATTATCATCTATTAAGCACATTTTTAAAACTCCGGGCCAAAATCCCTTCTAACCTAGCACTGTACAAAAATAATAAAAGATGGTCCCCATTTAAAAAAAAAAATAAAATTGGCAATCCGATTTTCTAGAATAAATTTAAACTCATTTTTTATTCCATTAGGGATATAATGTACAAAGTAATGATTACAAGACATCTTAACTGACTAGATAGTCTGTATTTTAAAGGCCTAATTTTTCAGATACAGAGCATTAGTAACTGTTATGAAACCTATGTCTCTGATAGGAAAATTGGACTCTAAAAATACAAATTATTAATTTAGCATTTGGTATTTGGCATTGAAGAATCCTCAGAAATTCAAAAATAGTTAAATTAAGAAACAATAACATCATTAGAGGACTACTTTATTGATGAATTATACTTGCTGAAATGGATTCAATTATCATAAAGCTGCTGGCTTTTATGTTTTGAAAGCTAATGCTTATTCTGAAATTTAAATAGAAATATGTTTCCAAATTATGTTTCCTGAATTGGAACTCCTTTTAGTATTTAAACAGTAAACATAAATTAATCAGAAAGTAGAACATAATGTAGCTATTGAGAAAGAAGAATAGCCTCATATTTTCATGCTAAAATGAAATCTTTGTTCCTATGATCTGAGCCAGTTTTTTCTGAAATGCATAGAATTCTTGTTTCTTCCAGAAGATTGACCACAGAATAAATAAAGGTATAGAAGCTCAGTACAGTGATGACCTAAAGGGGTATATGTATATCCAACCTTTAGCAACAAAATTTTGATAACCTGATGTATGAGACTGTAGCTTGAAAAACTTTGTGTAATAACCACATATGTTTTTCAAACTGTGAAGAATTAGGAAAGTGTTGTTTGAGAAAATAGGATTTGAATGACAAAAAAAGGAAATGTTATTATGAACTGGATAATGGTGGGTGCCTTACTGAAGTAAGGGGAAAGTTATGCTTAAAATGGATCACACTCTGATACTCTTACCATGACAATATTGCAATTTATAAGATTAAAGCAGATACTAGTGTACTTCCCCCTCATTTTACCATATTTTTGGGTCACATGCTGTAACTGTTCCCATTAATTTCTGTTTGTAAAAGGGGCATTTTCAAACAATGCTGCTGTATGCCTGTGTTTTGTTTGTCCAAACCTATCCACACAGAGAAGTCTAGAAATTAAGGGACTTCAGTGGTCATGGTGGGTTTTGTAATGGTTTCTTCTCAGGTTCTGAATTGGGTTACAATAATTACACATAATAAGAAGCTGTGACTGTGCACTTTCCTTCATTTTTCACTGTAAATGTTTTCTAAAACTGTTCAGATTAATAAATCTGTGAATGGAAAGCAGCTGTAGTCATAGCAGAGGGATTTTTTTTCAGTGGCTTCCAGTTTCTCTCTCATGATCACAAACACTCTTTTCTCCTCAGTCAGTACTATACTTCTGTGCATCCTATTTTTATAGCTTATTTATGTACATGTTTGCCCTTTGCACACATTTTGACTGCAAAAGGGATATAAACAACCCCCAAGAAAGAGGGTTCAGTATGGTAAATGGTTGAGTCTCTGGCTTTCAGACAGAACACTGGTTTAAACTGGGTAAAAAGGCTATTTAGGTCATTTTCTGTCCTTAGATGAAAAAGGAAAGTAATTTTAAATCAGTACCAGATGTGCATGTACTAAATGAACCTTAAGTTTCTAATTGGAGTCCTAGTAAAGCTGTAATAGATGTGGCAAATTACAAACAAAATGTTCTTGTTTACATTAGTGTAACTTTAAAACTTCAGCCAAAGACCTTAATAGATGTTCTGTTATTCTAAAAATGGAATTGAATGTCTATTCAACATTCAACAAAATTAATCTCTGGTGTAACTTCAGTGACTTAACTGGAATTCTAGCAGGAATTAATTTGGCCTCCTATGAACAGCTCAGTGTGCGTACTTGTGTATCTGTATGTGTTTCTGTGTGTTTACTTATGTGTTGCACTGGCCCCACAGCTGGAAGAAGGATGGATTCACATAGGGTACCCAAGACTTAACAATCAGAAGAAGCAGGTAAAACAACTGTTAGAATGCTGTAACAGATGCTGTCTTTTCAGGCTGCATAATTCATACACAGTAATATTAGCTGCAACAGTTCAGCTCAATAGCAACACCTCATTATTTTATCCCTCAGTATTTATTCCTATGGTTGACGCTTCATGAAATTACTGCTAATGTGTTTATACAAGGGCAGATCTGACACAAGTGGGAAGAATTTAATTTCCCACTCATTCTTTCCTGCTGATGTGTCCTCTTCCCCCGGTAGAAGTGGCAAGTGTAAATAGTTAATTTGCTTCAATTATGAGCCTGTCCTGCTAAATTAGAAGCAGCAGGAATATGAAGAGCCAGAATTATACATATGAGGCAGCTGACAAATCCTTGGAGCTCACAAAATCAAATCATTTACTCCTCATTGGTGCTCAAAGACCCACTAGATAAAAGCTGCCGTTTATTCTTTAACATCTGATGGAACTTGGATTACGTGTTACCAATACTTACGTAAAAGGAAGTCCCTGTACGTTCATGTCAATCTTTGTGATGCTGTTCCCTTTTTCGCTATAACCCACAAGCTTTCAGGGGTTTCTATTTTGGTCACT